TAATAACTCGTGTGATTGCTCATAATTATTGGCCACGTTATGTTACATATTAAAACCGTAGTATAACATATACCATTATAATAATAATTATTACTGTAATACTTGTCAGTGGTATCGCGTTACCCGTCGTCATAAAACTTACGTTCGCGTATTTTCCGTTTATAATACGTATATAGCTGTGAACCATTTTACATAAAGGTACAAATTACATGTGATCAATTAATAATGTAGACTGCACTTGTAACACAGAATACTTAGAAGTGATTCAAGTGAAAATTCGCTTAGCCATTTCATAATGGTTAACTAATATACGTGTCTTCTCGAGATGAGTTTTTGAATAAATTTCTAGATAGGTAAATAGATATGTATGGGTAAATAAATTAGCCAAAAGACTTGCATAATATAGAATTAAATCACTAAATGACTGTAACACGTGTAATGCTGTTTAGCTTTTAAAGACAATTATTATTTGTATTATTATTACAAGTATACGACGCATTGGATTTTTATAGGCTCTCCCGTCGCGTTAGTACCTACACTTTCTGGACAATACCAATTCGATAAATCAACCGAATGTAACAGCGGTAGGTACTCGACTTCTTGCCCGCTCGTTGTATACAGTGTTTATTACAATTAATAATACTTGTACATACTTCTTACATAGCCAACTTCCAATTAACTACTCTGCGTTGTTCTTGATCACTGAGTATTATTGTCAGAAATATTTTTAGGTCCAAGTTAGTGTGTAGTAATTATATTACTAATGTAAGTTCTAGGAGAAAATAAACTATTCAAATTTGTGTACAAAATGCAATGTAAATTTACATGTATTGAAAAGTTTTTGCATTCGTAGTCGGTATAGTATAAATGTCTAATTAGTGGCGCAACCCGAAGAGAGGTTGAGGGTTATAAATACTATATTATACTAGTAGAACTCCTTGTACCTACACGTTTTGTAGAGAGTCAAATGGTTATTGCCTCGAGAGATACTCCTAAACCCCTTCGCTAACATCTCGGTTAAAAACCGCCGCCGGGTGTAAAGATGTAGGCAGCGCTGTGGTCGAAGAGTTCGGATGAACGATGGTCGTTGGGCTTATATACAGTGTTTGATCGGTAACTCGACACTGCACCATCGGGCCAGTTAACCGTTGCTTTTAAAACCGCAGCGCCCAACCCCGTTGTCATCGTCCGAACAAACAAATCATCCCTGGGGCGGTCGTTTTGCTACCGGCCTACGCGCCGCCCTTAAAACGCGCATAATCTCAAAGCACAAACAGCGCACAAACGTCAAGCTTCAGGTTTTTTATTTTCAACAAAAATAATTGGTATATTCATCTCATTTCCGTGTTGATCAATCGGTAAGACGAGTACTACTCGGTAATATTGTAATGGGAAAGTGTTAATAAATAAATAAAAAAACCTATTCGTCCGTCCGGCGGTATAGCAAACGACCGGGGAACAGTTGGTACAGACAAACGGGCGAATAATAATAATAATTATCGTGGAACTGCTCAACTCGGAGTTTACAGAGACGGGCCGGCGGCAGGATTTACAGGTCGTCTTCTCCTCCGGTGCTTTAAGCCGATTTATGGCGAAGATTATTCGTCGGGACACATAATATGTATTCGCCACGACACAAACGACGCGAAAATTATCGCCCCAAACGAAAACGAGTTCTCCCGGCTCGGTCGACGATATTTCCACAATTATATATGTATTATGCTCACACGTGCATATACAAACACATTATAAACAACACGGCCACGGGTATTGTTCTCTAAATATAGTGTACACTCGTAACAGGCGACGACCGTATAATATAGTATGGTTACGATGTAGATGAAAACGAAATACCTACTTGGGTTTTATTAAAATATTACACACATAATTCAAACTGTGAAAGTAGAGGTATTTGAGTGACGGTGCTAAAATCAACGAAAAGGTGCATTCGAAGGCAGAGTCCATCGAAATTCCGTTATAAAACAACAAACGTGGCGGAATAACTTTATAAAATAAAATTAATGTATATCCAACTATAATTGTACATACATAATACAACCAATAAATCTAAACACGGTAATATTATTTTACCTACATAATATTTACGTTATTTATTTTGGACTTGGAAGTATTGTTATAGTTGAAAGAATGTAGCGCCTTCGACAGAAAACCCAAGGAGTTAATATTGCATAAGTCAATTAAAAATTGACGCAGGCGTAGATACAGTAGGTACATTATCAATAATTTAAAGTTGATGGGGGACGAAAAAATTTCTACTTTCCAGTTATCATCTACTGTAGCTATAGAGGAGGTAACACAGCGATTTAACGGTGGAACCAAATAAACGAACAAATACATTACAAGGAAATAATAATAATAATTATAATTGTAATCAGTAGCGTGCACAGGGGGGGCGAGGGGGGATAAACCCCCCCTTATGGGCCTTTTTTTATACTTTTAACCTGACAGTTCATCAACATAATATTTAATTTTTACGTACCCGTTGAAAACAAAATTTATCATCGAAAATATATGCTGTGGTGATACCAAAGACATTAACCACAATTACATGACATTATTTATGACATCCCTCCCCCCATACAAAATTCCTGCGAACGCCACTGATTATATTATTATAATATTGTTAAGCGACGTTCTAATGAAGGATTCCTCTTAACGTTATGTAAATGATTTTCGTCGACTGATAAAATACACTTTTGTTTGGCAGGAAAACTCGAAAGCGTCATAGTAATTTATATAATAATACATTATTTATATATATATATACACACACATATATACATATAACGTATTATATGCGTCCTTGGTAATTTATATGGTAGTGCGTTATTTCGCCGTCACTTCGGGGACGCGGGATTTACTGGACCGAGACCGCGTAGGAGAATACGAAACGCGACACCCAAGACGACGAGAAGTATTTTTTTTTTATATTGTACAAACATACATTCATCTATATATATATATATATATATATACATTCATCTATATATATACCAGTGCGTTATATACAGTCTCGGTGAGACGGTAATGTAGAATGACCCGTACAGGGAAAGAGGTGAGAGAGAGAGAGAGAGAGAGAGAGGGAGCTCTACAGGGATGCGTGCGAAAGGGGCGAGTGTTATGTCTAATGGCGAAACGTTTCCGATGGAATTACCGTCAACCGCCAAAACTAAATATTTTGCACTCGCTTTAATAGTGAAACTTATCGGATAATAAATGCCGTCAATGCACTAAGCAAATAATCTCACATTTTATTAAAAATATATAATATGTGTGATAATATGTATAATATGTGCATAATGATAAATTATGACACATGCGTTTGTGCAACAAAATATGTTTATTATTTCCTAAAATATTTTAAGCATCTCTCATATAGAGGTTAAAAATATTGTAAGTTCTACTTTTAGCCGTTTGCGGTACATAATAGCAGTCCAAGTCATAATTCTAATTATCAAATTACGAATAAAACAATTGTATCAAAAAGAAAACATGAAAGCGTATAACCAAGTTAGTCTTTTTGAAAAAAAATTTAGTTAACAACTATCAATTTCCTTATAGATATTTCAATTACTTCAAAAAAATCCTCGTGGGTGACAACTGACAACCTCTATTCGAATTATTCGGACATTCTCTAGGTAGTGCATTCTTAACCTTAGTATTCACGAACCGTTGAAATATCACCATGATATTTACCAAATCCTATTTAAGTTAAAATACACGATTTAATCTCAATTAACAATAATAATATTAATACAGTAGAACTTACCGTCCCGTAACTCGGTTATCCGTGGATGTTTTAGAACACATATTTAAAAACACTTTGTATTATAATGAAATGTTTAAAAGAAAATATATTTTTGCAATACAGTGTTGGAATGTTACACATTAATATTTCTTATACATGTAAGTGCAAATAATATTATTCTGTAGAACCGTTGTTGTATACAGTATAGTTTATATTTTGTAAGCATATCAAACGTATACAAAAAATGATTAATGAGTAAAAATCACGTTGTTAAAAACCCGAGAGGTTCAGGGGAAGAGTTATAATAATAATAATGAAATATAATGAAAAAACAGCCTTGTGAATCATTATTATATGAACACTTGTTTTGTATAGACGATAACTGCGTATACTTACCACCCGTACACCTTCTTGTTCTGTACCGTTCCTCCTTCAGTGGCGGTAACACGATACCGCTGTACAGGGATCACGTTCGCGGCCGTTATATATATACTGTATATGTATGCTTGTATACAGTATATACAACACAATAGTGTATTATTATAATAAAACAACCAAAACAACAGTCGATAATAATAGTAATAATTTGTGATAACTACCGGTCGCGCACTTGTAAACAGATTAGTCACTTCCTGGCCGTTTAACAGTATTATTATACTATGTGTCATTCATTGTAAAATTGGTAGTTACATTGCTTTTACAGTGAACTACCTATATATGGTTGGATTTTAATGATTTGACAATCGCAAGGCAAATAGAAATATATCCTTAAAATTATAGCAACGGCTACCCAAAACTAGTATTTATACTTACACTATTTACATATTTTTCGGTTACTCCCACTTGAACGGATTGACTTGTCTGTTGGCACTATTCTAAATTATAGTAGGTATACTGCTGTATAGCAGTTCTTCTTCGACGTTAATCCGAACTATATGTGCGGTCAGCCACCCTAGTCCTTCACCAGTACTGAACACACCCACACAATACAATACAAGTACTAACATTCGTGGTTACTATTATGTCTTTAATACCGCTATTTTATTTTGTAACTCATATTGCGCATAACAAAATTCTAATATACACATAATAACATATTATACACATTAGCGATTCCCCATTCATTATAAGTTATAACGGATAACCATTTAACTTTTGTGGTAGTTGTGATACATAACAATTCAATTTACAACGGCTAAATAATAATAATATTGTTTTGATATTTTTTCAGAATGTCAGGAAGTCGGAGTCCCACCGGCGTTGGCGATGGTTGTGAGAAAATGGTTGGCCCACCTTCTAATTTGGATTCGAGTTCGTCCGAATCCATTGACGGCGACAACATGAAATCGCACATTCACATGTTGCACAAACCCAGCGCCATTTCTTTCGGCCACTCGATGATAACTGGCCAGGTAAACATTTTTTAATGTACATTTTTATTTGTTTTATTATAACAGTTATGTTATCTGTAATCAGTGTATGTTAATGGTTGTATAAGAAGTTATGCGGGGACAAGGGCGTATTTCAGGAGGCCAGTAGGGTGGGTCGATTCATCACTTAAGGATAATTTTTATTGTAATCCATAATTTATTCACCTCAAAAGTCATAATCATGTCTTATACACTTATACCCTTTGATAAAATGTTCGTTTGATAAGAAGACAAGAGTATTATTAAATAGAAAGAAGGATGTATAGTTGAACAAAATTCAAAAGTTTATAACTTTTAAATAAAATAATTGTAACACAAGTATTTCCTCAATGGCTAATTGCCGGTCAAGATGTTAATTGTATCTAGGTATAGGAATTTAAATAAACCGGTGATCGCATTGCATACTTTTGTTTTAAATACTGTTTTTCTTTTTAACTTATAATAGGTATTTATGATGTTCTATGTCTTGACTCCACGTTAGTTTTCCATTTATACTTGATGCATCAATGTATCGTTATTTTAATCAAAGTAAAAACAAACAAAATCCTCCCACCGGAAATACCGTACTCGCGGGAAGGAAAACAGCTGCAGCCGTTTGGTTTGGCAGAATTCTAGATGTGAATATTGAACTAATGCCAATATATATATATAAATGTGTACATGTTCAACGCTCGTGCTTATAACTTATAACAACAACAATAATAATTAAAATGGTTTGTGAACATCGCTGTATCCAAATGTGTCTTAAATTATTATTTCTATTAAAGTGGGTACGATGTCTCGTCCAAGTTTACCGTCGCAAGTCACTGTAGTTATGGTGAGCAGTGGTAACTATTACAAAATTCCATTCGACGAAAATTTAAAAAAAAAAAATTATTTTACCAACCATATAGATACACGCATACCACAATTTATATTATATTATTTTTTATTTAAATCGGTTAGTAAATAATTATTCAAAGCTACTACAGCCGCTGGTATTGAACGGTTGTATAATAATATACAGTATACTGTAGTTAGACCACGTGGTTTGACATACGATATGGCTAAGCTATTAACTGTTTTTAAGTTGTGTGTAAATAAAAAATAGGAATCCGTTCACTCGAATGTCGTTTGAATCGTTTGTTGAGCGTATCTGTATTTAAAAAACAAATCGCATACTTTATGGTAGTAGCACTTTAGTGCTGACCATACGCCACTAGCAGTTGAATTAATCGATTGGCATATATTATTATTTTTGTTCAGCCGATCCCGATTTCTTTATGAAAACTTCACTATAACATTCATACCCAATTAATTGCAGGCCATAAATATTAGTTTTTTGTTTTCATTAGGATTTCAATCTTACACGTTTGTTTCAATCGTGTAACGGTTACAATGTAATAAACGATTAGGTACGTTTTGTTTCAGGATCACTTGTCGAGTCACGAAATGATGTTTGGCAGCGACCTTAAGTCTCCCATGTCCGGCGGCGGCGTGCCGTCAATGATGACCAACCCGTCGGCTTCCGCGGTGGCCGCCACGGCCGCGTATCAGTCGCAAGGGTTGGCCGGCACCGGGAGTATCTACGGATCGCCGGTGACCGGTCGGCCACTGATCGGCGGAGGCGGCGATCATCACCACCATCACCATCATCACCTCCAACAGATCACCGCCGGCGGCCACTCCACGGATCCCGCATTGCTGCACGACTACCATTCGTTATGACAGTGGGTGTCTGGCTACAACGGTGGCCAGCAATAATTTCAAATCCCTCGCCGGCGGTCACACAGATCGCATATTATGTTTAAGTCACCGGTTCAACACGAGCGATCGTTGTAACAGTAAAGTGTTGTGTGTACACAGGGTGTCGTCTCACGTAGCGTTAACAACTTTACATAGACATAAAAATTGCAAATTCGTCAAAACCGCGATAGACGCGCCCTGTATTCACAATTTAGGTAATATACATACCTATTAGTGTTACAAGTCATAACATTCATGGCTGTTGGAGCCGTTGGTGGTACACGAAAACTATTCTCGATTCGAACCCACGACCGTACGATACGGTGTACCTATTTGGGAAAGTTACTCCGACCCGTCTTCTTCTCTTCGTGCCAGAGTTCAACTGCTTTACGGTTAATCGATTGTAATAATAATATTGTACGTTCTTTGGAACGTGCACAGCTTCTTATAACGCGTTGCGACATTTACCTTTGAAGCCGAGTCGTGACGTCGCGTTTTCGTTAATATTCGGACCGATCGGAGACCTAAAACAGGTTTACCGCGTTGGATTTTGTCAATGAAGCTCTATATAAAAAAAAAAACTCGTATGTGTATGCGTTAGCATCAAATAAAATATAAACCAGTCGCGGCGGATGGAAGAGGGAGATGTGTGTGTTTTTTTTTCAGTTTTATATTCATTGTTCTTGTCCTGTCATAATTTTCGGGTGAGTTGAGAATATAATGTATATGTGTATGCCCTTGGAAACAATTAGCGGTGCAAAAGCGATTACATGGAATACAATGATGAATTTCTCGAGGACATTAGCAAGCATTCTTAAAAAACACCATAATTGTTAAAAATATAAATTTTGAAAAATGTATTTGAAAATGAAAATATCACAATTATGTTTCTCACCGTTTGCTTACTACCATGTTTCTAGTCCATCAAAATAATATACTTTTTATTATATACTTAACGCACCTTTACTCGTGTTGTACGTGATTTTCATGTGTGTATGTGTGTGTGTGCGTGTACATTTTAAAGGATTATTATACATATATAACAATAATAGTATATTAGAGTAACAATCACTGCAAACAACAATTAATCTTCTTTTCCTATTTTTTTTAATTTTTTTTTTTTAATGTATAGTAAAAAACATTAATCGAATCCTAAATAAGTATGCCGTAACGATATTGGTTGTGCTTTATTAAAAATACACAACTAGGTCTTATTGTCCACACACCCGTATTATATTTAGGTGTATATAATTAATAAAAACGGATTGCGTTTTCATAAACGTCGTGTGCCACAGATGGATTTCACCTATGTATTCCTAAAAGAAACTAAGTGTAATCATAAACGGTATATATAACGTTAAAAACGATAGAAATTTCTGCTTCTTATGTGTAGACTTCTACATCAGTTAACAACAGTATCATATTTAATATTGATCTTATATTATGTTAATGATATCATGTACTGGCTTTACTTATTTTGCATTACACCCTAAACGCTTAGGCTTTTTTATACGGCAAAACAACCCAAATGGACTTCGGGAAAACAAATACCACTAGTGTACATAAAATATTTATTTTGTACTTCTATCTACGCCCTTAAACGTACTAAGCTAGTATAATATTATAATATAATATATATATATATATATATATATATATATTCATATGTCTGTGATTCTGTATTTTTTTAATTTATTCAACGTTTTTTCGCAATCTTGTACAATAACTTTTTGTATATTATTGTAAATTATCATTATTATATTGGAATAGTTAAATTATAAACACAATAATTTTATAGATATTTTAATAAAATTAGATAACATGTACCGCATGTATATAATACAAAACATGTGACATCATATATTATATGTTTTTTAGTAAAAACATAATTTATTTAGAATTGTATAAATTAAAATAAATATTGTTTTTAATAATAATTACCTATATTGTTACGCCTACTATTTTATTAGCTAAAACCAAAGTATTTTATGTGGTAGAGAAAACATCACTATGTATATTATTATTACTATTATTTTTTTTTTAACCATTTCAATATTAATGTATAAGGATACAAAAAATGGCGTTTTATTTATATGTATTATTATGTTGAATTTGAGAAACAAAAAAAAATACAACACAACTATAATGTCAAAATATAATAACATTTTTTTAATTATAATTTTCCTTCTTTAGTTTGATCCTTTGATATTTGAGCCGTCGATAGCCAAAGTGGGGTGATTCACGTTTTCACACAATCTAAAATAACCACCAGGTGATGTGAGTGCTATTTTGTTTTTTCTGCTAGATGGTAAAGAAACTTTTACGTTCTCTTAAAAACGTATACTGAATTGTATGTGTATATATATATATATTTATTATTTGTATTATATATATATATATCTATGAATGTATTTATAGTTACTTATACTATACCTATATATACGTTTTTACGATTTATTCACACAAAAAATTAAATAATCATACTATTCTAGCATAATATAATATTTTTAATTATTTGAATAAAAAATTATTCGAATAATTTTCTCTTAAATAGTTTGTTATCTAGATGACTATTAATGTATATACATTTGTATTCTAATGATAGACAGTTCTGTTTACTATTTAATAATTAATATCTTTATTAAATATTTTATTTTATACAAAATTTGGCAAAATTGTTACTAGACATTCGGATTTCTAAATTGTTTTTAATACTGCTAACCTCAGGGCTGAATTTGAGCCGGGGCAACGGCAATTTATTGTTGATAGGGCGGACAATTTTTACTAAACCAGCGAATAGCATTTAGTATTTTTTTTTTGTGAAACAAAAGCAACAATCTGGTCATTAGTCCACACTTAATTAAAATATATTTCTATTAACCGTAGCACTAAAATTCGTTTATCCAAAGGGCCGATTTTGTTTGGTAAATTATTTGTAATTGGTATAAATACAGAATTAATGTACACATTTAAAATTAAAAAAAAAAAAAAAACATTTGTTTACTTTCACGAAGTATTGGAAACCAAAATCATAGTTTCAAGGATTCTTATTTGAATACATATTTGTAGAGACGCCATAATATTCTGCTATGCATGCCGCCATTCTATTATTAACATTAAGTTTGAATATTAAAAAAATAATTTGTAAAGAGGTGGAGTAGGGGGGTGACGCCCTCCTGGAGCTTAGGTCTATGTGAAAAATAGTATCCCCCCACCGGCATTTTCAATAGATTTCCGCTTAGGTGGAAAATCGTATTATTAATGAAATGTATGAGAAAACAAAACTGTGATAATAATGTACAGTTGAAGATGGTCCAATAAGATGACCGCATCATCACTGGCAGAGGTGACGTAAAGTAAAATAAAAAAAAACTAGTTTTCTCTTCCCCCTAGGTCGAAGCCTCTTAACTTGTTTTAGAGTTCGATGCGACCGCGACGATAAACGAGCTTCGTGGGCGATCGTTGGCATCCCTTCTATACACGTGTGTGTGTGTGTGTGTAAATATGGTAACATGAGAAGTTCCGGACGACATGATGTAATCCATTTCATTGTACTTATCTCGCCAGAGGGTCTTTATTAATATAATATATGAATTCGTTCGCTTTACTTACTTGGTTATTATATTTTTGTATTTTACTATTAGGTAAAGGTAGGTGTAATGGAACACTAAAATAACAAACAAAATAGTTTTATACATAATTATTACTAATATAGTGTTTTTACTGTTGGAATTTCGGTTTCGCTAATCTTCCAAACTTTCATAGTATATTCGGTCCGTAGGTTTTGTCCATACAACAAAAAAATAATACTCTTTACAAAATGTGTTTAACATTTTTATGGAGTACATAAAATCATATTTTTAACAGGAAATAATACATTATGGTAACATTTTGAATTCATTCATATTTTTTTGGCTGTATAGATTTGCAGATAACATAATTTAAGTTTAGAATTAATTTACGAGTAGTTGCATTGCACATTCTCGATGGATCTGTACAATTATAATCCTTTTTGGGCAACCATGATAGCTCTATATAATATAATGATTGTAAATTTACACCAATTCGAAAGTCCTAAACCTTTTTATGAGTAAATTAAAACATTGTATGAATTTAATATGTATACTATTTTTAATTTTTAGCATACTTGTTTATTTAAATACTAAAACTAGCATTTAACATATTAATGCTATTGTTATGTCTACCCGCAAATACGGGTTAGTTAGGTTAGTTTAGGTTACTTCGCAAATGAGTTGTCTTTTGGCGAATGTGCGCAAACTGCAAAATAACATGACAATAGTCGTCTAAATAAGAATGCCTTCTGTTGGTTTTTTTAATGTACCTGTTATAATAAAAATCTCAGAGCTAGAACAGCACAACTGCATCGTAGATTCATCAACCGCGGTGTAACTCGATATCGAAAATTATTAAATATGTGTGTTATATTATTTTAGTTCACTTCACGGCATTGTTCAGTTACCTGTATAACGTGCAACATCCGGTTGATTTTCTTAATTATTTTCCACCGGGATGCTCGCTCACGGGCCAATGAAACAGAGTCCATTCCCACCTACGATACTGTGGATAACACGGTGTACATCCTTGTCTTCCCCTCGTTCACGCGATATGTAGTACTTTTTAATAGGGCGGGAGAAACAAAGCGTTCGGTTCACGTACAAACGGATAGTGTGGATAATGGTAGACAACAATACTCCAGCGATGACAGCTATTCCTCAGGGGAAAACGGTGATTACAATTATGCTTCTAGTCTTGGGGTTGTTGTATTTAACCGAATCAAACACCTCTGATATTGAAAGATAGAAAGTTTGTGGCGGTATGATGTCTAAATGTTTTATTTTAGATAAATCATGGTAAATAAATTGCAGCCCCTTTAAAATATTTTCCATTTGTTGTTATACACTTGTCCCATTTTTTTTGACATTACGACACACACTACTTATTGTTCGAATTGAGAATATGTATGCACTATGCAGTGTGTCACATTTTCTCTTATTGTCTCGAGTCATGAGTGCGGAACAACTACGTTTTTATTTTTAGCACTGTTTACCGTTTTATTTGAAGATTCCTCGCGTATGTTATGTGTCTTTCAAGCGATTTCTCTAAGGTCTTTCGTCTTAAAATATATTCACCAGTGGCAAACAATCGTACAATGACCTTTTCGAAAAAAAATTGTATTTTTTCACGGCGAATACCAGTGAATCGTTGTCCCCTAAATTGTAAAAAAAAAAAAATGAAAATAATAAATTCTTTTCTCGTTTAATGACATCAATAGCGCAGTTGATATTGATTACAACAGCGGCGGCAAAGGGTAAACAATTATTACTGCGCGTACAATGATATTGTAATGAAATATTATGGAAGGTCGACGTATGGGTGCCTATCTCTTTGCTTCATTCTTACCCGACTGCTTTACTAGCAACACCATTGTACTAGGGGGGAACGTTTACCGGA